TAGCTGATAAAGTGAATGTTGGTTCTGATAGAAAGGTGTCTGAACACACAGAGCATCGCAGGTTGTTGTGTATGGGGCTGTGTAGCCATGGACCGGTCAGGGTGCCCCCATGTCAGGGTCATATCCACTGCCAAAAGTGCATACAATGGACACGTGAGTATCAGAACTGGACCACGGAGCAATGGAAGAAGGTGGCCTGGTCTGATGAATCACATTTTCTTTTACTTCATGTGGATGGCCGGGTGTGTGTGTCACTTACCTGGGGAAGGGATGACGCCAGGATGCACTATGGGAAGAAGACAAGCCGGCGGAGGCAGTGTGATGCTTTGGCCAATGTTCTGCTGGGAAGCCTCGGGTTCTGCCATTCATGTGGATGTCACTTAGACACTTACCACCGACCTAAACATTGTTACTGCCCAAGTACACCCCTTCATGGAAACGGTATTCCCTGATGGCAGTGGCCTCTTTTAGCAGGATAATGCGCCCTGCCACACTGCAAAAATGGTTGAAGAATGGTTTGAGGAACACAACAACGAGTTTGAGGTGATGACTTGGCCCCCAAATTCTCCAGATCCCAATCCAAATCGATTGGAGGATGGAGGTCAGTTATAAGACTGAAGGGGAGGACGGAGGTCAGATAGAAGACTGAAGGGGAGGACGGAGGTCAGTTATAAGACTGAAGGGGAGGACGGAGGTCAGATAGAAGACTGAGGGGAAGGACGGAGGTCATGTAGAAGACTGAAGGCAAGGACGGAGGTCAGATAGAAGACTGAAGGCAAGGACGGAGGTCATATAGACGACTGAAGGCAAGGACGGAGGTCATATAGACGACTGAAGGGAAGGACGGAGGTCAGATAGAAGACTGAAGGGAAGGACAGAGGTCAGATAGAAGACTGAAGGGAAGGACGAAGGTCAGATAGAAGACTGAAGGGAAGGACGGAGGTCAGATAGAAGACTGAAGGGAAGGACGGAGCTTATGCAGCCAGCAATAACAATGAGATTTCGGATTGGTAGACTACCTGGTGGGGCCAGAGCCAGGGAGGAGATCCTACAGGGGATCCCATTGAATTATCTGACACGATACACTTCCCTAATACAATGTTACAATAACTGTTTTCACTTTTAAAAGTCAGCAGCAGCCAATGAAGAAGAATGCTCTCAGGGAACGTGATCTATATCCCAATTATGAATAGTATACGCAGCTCGTTCACTTCGGCCCCCCTCCCGGGCAGCCGTCCTCCTGCTGTAACCTCTATCTGCTCCAAATTTAGAATCCCTCAATTATTTATGGGGAGAGGGCACCTCGCCCCGGCCTGGTTTGTACTAATCTCTTTAACTCCTCCGTCTGCTCCTGCGAATGTCACAACACCTGGGACACCGGAGCCCGGCTCGGCTCTGCGGCTGGGAGGGCGAGGTGAGACGGAGGTGACGAGTGTTGGTGCCTCGGATCGCTTTCACCCTCTGTCCACCACAACAATGACTTAACGTGCGCCGTTCCCGCGTGCCCCGGGGCAAAAATAGCTACAGGACACAACGAGGGGGCGGCCGAGCCAAGTCGCTTAATAGCGATTGTCCGGGTGTTAAAAAATATATTAAGCGCTTCTGTCTTGGCGCGGCGGCGGCCATGACACCCAGACGGGGTACCGTTTCAGGAGCATTCAGGAAGACGAGTAAACAATTGATGAGGCCGGTGTCTTGTGTCCGGGCTATTTTTCCGACAAGTGGCGGGTCATGTAGCGTTAAAGTGCGTAACGAGAGCAATCTGGGCAGCGGCGAGATCTTCACGCTGGAGGTTTAAAGCGCGCTGTCAGAAATACGGGAAGATTTATCCGATTTCAGCGATTAATAATGAAGAGGCCGCGGCTTGTCCGGCCAGAGCTGTAGATGGAGCTGTTTGGAAGGTTTTTAACAATTTGTTTTCTTTTTACAGTCAGAAAGTTGATCTGCGACTTTATTTAACCAGTTCAACAC